CCCTTCTTCCTCTTTTTTACCTCTTCTCTTTTTTTACCCCCGCAACTGCTTATAGTATTCCCTCTTGGTACGATGTTGTCGTGGCCGTAGATCCGATGTTCACCACAGGTCCAATCTTGGGTCTTCATCATCATCGCCATATCCCCGGTCCCGCAGCCCCCAGTGATTGAACCTCCTCTCAGGGAGGGGAGAGGGGACAGAGACAGGGTAGAAGGGTCAGTGAACCCTGATCCCGTACCGTTCTCGAGAAAAAAAACTCGCGACGAGTGATCGGTTATGCTTGTCACACTCCCATGTGGAAGTGATGCTGAGCTGAACAAAAGGGTTTTTACGGGGTGCTCCACTAGTCTATGGACCATATGCACAGTTCTTCTGTCCGTTACGAGGGAGGACCTTGTCCCTCTCTCTCTCCTTCTTCCACGAGCTCTCCCCTGCTGTTTTGGTCTTTGTTCTGGTGATGTACAGCACAGTACACGTACAGTACAGCACATGGGTTACGGATACGGTACGTGCGCAGTGTACCTTTTCTTTTCTTTTCTTTTTCTTTTCTTTTTTCCTCTTCCTTTCCCTACCATACTCGAACAGCTCGCACGGTTCGATAGGGGATAGGACTTAGAGCGGCGTTTCGGTAGCGAGGTGGTTGCTCGCTCTGTGGCTGTCATTGTGAGTTACAGTACCGTAGACCAGACCAGATGGTGGAGGGATCAGTCCGTGGGTAGCGGACCTTTCAATCCGGGCCAAGCAATGCTTAATTCTGTCGATCCGTAATTGTCGGCTAGTCCAGACGGGAAAATGACGAAAAGCAATGTCGATCAAGGGTTTGTCATGTACGAGTACAAATAGTAGGCGACATTTTTTTTTCCTTTTTCGTCACTCTTCTATGGCTGTAATTAATTTAGTTGCCTTTAGCTTACTAGAATTATTATTATTATTATACTACTGGTAGCACTCCAATTGGGGCTGGATCGATGCTGGAGCAAGATTTCATCCGTCCCCATCTTGCATGCGTTCCCCCGGAACAATCTTTTTTCAAGACTCGGACGCGGATTGCGTGTCACTTTTCTTTTTCCCACTTTATTTCGTTTTTTTTTTGAGGGGGGGGAGGCTTTTTCTTTTCCTTTTTTATATATATCGGAAAAAGCATTTGCGCTGCCGTGATCGTTATGTACTCGTACAGTATTCTACAGTACGGTATTGTACGAACGGCCTGCGGTGGAGCCATCTGTTTGTTCGTTCAACTCAAGACTTCACAAGGGGGGAGGGGAGGGGAGGGGACAGACAGGACAGCCAACCAGCCAGCGTTCATCGGATACAGGTACGGGGTTCGTATCCCCCACTATAATCATCCCGAAGGAAAAAAAAAAAAAAACTCGAGGTCGACTTCCGTACTGCAACTCGAAGGGTGACTTGAACGGTGGAAGGAAGTCTATCCATTGATTTCTAATGCAGTACAATCTCCATCGGGAACGACGGGTACTAACACGGAGAGTGGATCATCCGTATTCGGAGGGATATTTTTTTTTTAAACCCATCTCCTGGCTCTAAAGGTGAAAAAAGGTTGCAGGGTCTTGCGCTCGTATAGTAATATGTTTTATTCTATTTTATTTTATTTTATTTGTTAGGAAAATACCCATTTATTTGGTCGTGGGTGAGTGAGGATGTGCGGTGCTGTACTGTACGTCCGACCAACATAGGAATCTCCAAGAGATAACCTTTTTCGACGCCAGTTTTGGGGGGCCCGAAGAGTCTCCAAGGAGGGTCTACCCGACCTCCAAGTGCCGTGTAACAGGGCTCGTGTGGTCCGGTCGCCCACGCGTCATTGAGCCAAATCACGCTTCTCACTCCCCACCCCCCTATTTCCCTTTTTTTTTTAAATAAAAATAAAACAAAACAAATGGAGTGGTGGATGGGTGATGTGGGCTGGGGGGGAAGGGGGGATTCGTGAGACCTCCGGTGGATCGGATGTGGTTCTTGCAGTCCACTTTGGGGAATCGTGGAGTTGCCTTTTTGGCAGCTGGTTGCGTTCGTGGTTGATTATGTGAATCCTGACGCATGTTGCAACCTTTTCGGTGTTTGTGGGGTCGCAGATAATCATGGCACTGTGCAGTACCCCGTGGGCTATCACTTGTTGGAGGGGGTGAGTTAGGGCGGGTCAGGAGAGATGACTTTTACAGAGTTCACAGGTCTATCATGGGAAGGGGGGAAAGGAGGGACGACGGCAGGGGAAGACTTATCCGAGCTTCATGGTCGAGAGAGGGGTGCGATATCGGGAGGTGTGTAGGGAGGGGGATACCGGTAGCTGGTGGATCCCACCCAGCCTGTCCTCGGATCATTTCCGCCATGCCCTCCATGATTTTCCCAATACCAAGGAAGCGCCGCTTGGAGACCGACGAAACGGGTTGTCGTGCAATGCGGACCTCGCGTCTTGTCCGCATTTCACATTTCGCTTTTGCTCACAAGTGTCCGGGTCGCTCGCTAGCAAGCCAGCTTAGGCCAACGGGTAATCCTATGAAGACCTGACATCCCTTTCTCCCGTTGTCGCACCGTTTCTCCTGTTCCTCATGCTTTTTCTGCCGCCCCTCCCCTCCCCATTTCCCAAATGGCATTACCCCACCTCCACATATCTTTTGTGGGCACAACCGCTTCAAGATACAATTTTTGTTTGGCACATCCGGGCCCGAAGGGGTGGTTATGGTCTGCCGCATGTCTGACGAGGTACAGTGACAGCGCGCGGCTCTTGAAGGATACTGTTTCGGGTTGGGTCAAAGCGAAGTACAATACGTTATGTACCCTATCTCAGTAAATCTTAGGTAGCGGACAGCATGGATCATGGTAAGGGCGCATCCAAGTGTACCAGTACAAGGCATCCTATCTCCGGTACAGTACAGCACACATGGTGTCTTATCCCAATGCATGAGGTTCACCTCGTTTCTGCTCGCCCTTCTCACCTTTTTTTTTTCTGCGAAAAGGTTACGGGGACTGAAGGTGAAGCATCCATCGTGCAGTACCATACTCGAGTATGGTGTGTCGATTTATTCTCCACCCGGCTTACCACTGTTCTGGCATGGCCTCTTTTCGGCCTGTATTTTTTGTGCGTCTCACACACGTATGTGGGGTGGACTGGTATGAGCGCTCGAGTACAGACGGTACTGGTACTGCACTATACGCGGACCGGACACTGTTGGAAGGTGGTGGGCAGCTTTTGGGTGGTTGTCCAGCCTGTGTCCTGCGGGGCTGCCTGTGTTTTGTCTTGTGCGGCTGGTTTCTGCATCCTTCTGCATGGTCTCGGTTGCACGTGCACGCAAAACTATGGTATGCACCGGTACTGTACTCTTGGACCAACTCGTGTATTGTGTTCGAGTACAGTACCGGTACTCGTACAAGTACTGTGCCCCGTAGGAACCGCTGAACGAACTTGTACAGGTACGAGTACAGTGCTGTACAAGGATGGTCGGAGAGCCAACCATTAAATTGTTGGATTAAAAATCTCAAAGAGGTAACTACTGCAATGGGATTAGCAAACCGATACCTCTTGATAGGGCTCTAAAGAGGCGCCAGAATTATCGGATGAAACACAAAAAGAAAAGAGACGAAGGGTACGAGTACCGGTATTGTAAAAAGAAAGCAAAAGGAAGCGAAGATAGGTAAAGGATGGTAGGTGGTGGAGAAGGTGCAGTACTCGAGTACTAAGTCGATGGACCTGTGTCTGTCCGTCTGGCCCAGATCCCTTCCCCCCGACGCATAGAGCCCTACCTATTCGGCATGTTCTCTCGAGTTCGCGGAAGGATCTCATCTACCTGCGAAGCATCGAATCGAATGCACGATCGTAGAGTATCTTGACCACTATCGTTGCCATCACCACCACCACGACCCCACCACCACGCCATGCATTCTGGGCTGTTAATCCGCTGTCGATATGTGGGATTTTCCGGCCCGGAAATAGATCCAGTTTCCGTGAAACGATTGTCGTGGTGACATTTTCATTGCCCCCCCCTTCAATTCTGCATTTTGCATCTTGACCAACAAAGTAAGTTATGGTGAGTTACCTTTTGCGTCACAACGTGATTTTTTTCTTTTTTTCTTTACTCGTTTTGTTTTGTGTTCGGATTGTCGCAAACCCGAGTAAGGGAAGGTCGTTCCTGCCAGCCCTTTCTGGTATCATGGTCGGGTTCTGCTTCCCCCACTATGATTTCCCTATTATCCGTTTATCTCGTGAAGAGCTTTTTTTTTTTTCGCGGGGGAGGACGAGAAGGGACGGGGTTCGGGGGGCTCCGGTTCTTCCTCTCTTCGGCCTTAGTTGGGTTAGTCGTTCCCACTAAATTTCGCAGCTGAGAGAATTCACATTGTCGATTCCCTTCCTGTAACGCGGGGTTCAAAATGTTAGAAAGCCTGTGTATTCTGTGTACTGCCATCGTCGTCTATTCGTAAGCTGTATACTTACAAAGAAGCCTACAGGTAGTGCCCGTTCCGCGAGTTAAGTCTATCGGAGATAAGGGGCGCAACGGCGCTGATCGAAGGTAGGCTTATCACTACAAAGAAATTTGCATGATTGCAAGTTGCAAAAACTCTATTAAATTACTATGCCGCCTTAGTGGATATTTATCACGGGAGCCATCGAGGTCAAGGGGGCATATCGGTATTCAATCCCGGGGTTGCGAACCGGAGCTGGGGGTGGGCACGATGATCGATTCCGTTGGAGGGAGGGAGAGTTGTGAAAATAACGAGTGTTTTGACGATCGCTATGGGGCCAGTAAACTTTAATAATTATGGTCTTAATCCTTAGTTTAAAAAGGGGGTTCCCTGAACTTGGTTCCTGAACCTTTCTCTACCCAGAACCCGTCGAGCTTTCTTGTCAATAAACGAAAAAGCAAATCAAGGCACACAAACCCTAACCTTTATCGATAAACCTAAAGCGTAACCACCGGTCTGCGAGCACATCTCTCTCGACGGGAAAAGCGCTTTCGCACTGTGAGCCATTTCACCATCATTACCGAGCCCCATTTTTTACCCTTTGAGCCATCTTGATCCTGACTTGAGCGGTCCAGGTAGAATAATAATAAAAAGATATGTCTCCAAGAGTTTGGCTCATCACGGGGTGCTCCTCCGGTTTCGGCGGCTTGCTCGCCAGGGCTGCCCTGAAGAACGGTGATAAGGTGGTTGCGACGGCCCGTGACCCAAAGAGGATCGATGACCTCAAGGCGTTGGGAGCCGCAACCCTAGCTCTTGATGTCTGCGATGCGGAGGAGAATGTCCAAAAGGCCGTTGCTGATGCAAACGCTGTGTACGGACGGATTGACATTCTGGTGAACAACGCCGCCTACATATTGGAGGGAACGGTAGAGGAATCCAGGTATGCTACACTCAAACGCACGCCTCGTGTTTTATTTCCTTTTTTAGGCCTCTGTCCATGCCAAGAATGAAGATCAGAGTGATTAATGTATGGTTCAACTCGCAGCGCATCAGAAGTATTCAAAATCTTCAACACCAATGTCTTCGGGTCCTTGGCCGTGGCCCGCGCGGTTCTGCCCTACATGCGCGCGAGAAAGAGTGGCACAATCGCAAACATGGGATCCATCGGCGGCGTTAGGGGGACCCAGGGAGCAGGTCTCTACTGCTCGACCAAGTTTGCCATTGCAGGTATCACCGAGTCCCTTAAGGCTGAGGTCGCACATTTAGGCATCGACGCCGTCTGCATCGAGCCCGGCTACTTCCGCACAAATTTCCTTGCCCCGGGGCACAGGACCCCGACTGCAGCGAGGATTGCTGATTACGACCCTGTTATGGAGCCCATCAGGAACGTCTTCGACACGTATGACAGAGCTCAACCGGGTGATCCGGAGAAGGGTGCCCAGCTGATTGTTGAGATCCTGACAAAGTCTGGGAGAGTCTCCGGGAAGGAGGTTCCTGTTCGTGTGCCAATTGGCTCGGACGCTATCGCTTTCATTAGCGCTAGGGCTGAGGAGACTCTACAGACCATGAAGGGATGGAAGGATCTCTCTTCCTCCACTGACCATGACGATGTCAAGAAGTAGTTGTTTGAGCTGGGCCTTCTCGATAGGGTAGTTTGTTGTCGGGATATCGATTGAATATTAGAAAATCATTCATTATTGAGAAAAAGCAATGTCTACTTTGTGAAAATCACTGCCAAATTGTCTTGTGGTGCACGCCATCCCGTGATGCTTGCATATTTGTGCTACGAGTATAGGTTGGGACTAGCCCGTAGTTCGTTGCGCACGGTCTTCTCGATAGGCCATTCGTTTTGTTTTTTGGTCTCGGACTTGATATGGTGTTCCTGTCGACTTTCGGGTCCGAAGAGTATGCAAGGTGTTCCAACGCCGAAAAGATAAAAATGCCCCTAACCTTAACTAGGACACCCTCAGCAGCTAAGCCTCATAGCACCCTCTGCCGGCCTCCGTAAGGTTAGGGGCACCCCCACGCAGTCGACGACCTGTCTAACCCTATGCTGAAGCTATCTCCCAATCAATCGAAGGCTAACTAACAAGCATATCTCCAGGGAGCCGGATATCCGTATCATGCCACCCAGCATACCGGTAACCAACAACTGAATTTCCAGCTGACAATCAGCACCCTCCTGATCGATCTTAGCTACGGCGGTTCTGATTGGCATTCGCTAGTGTGGCCGAGAGGAAGTGAAAGGGTCGAGTAAATTGGAAAATAATAATAAGAATCTCCACAAAGTTAACGCATAAACTATCATACCTGTTGTACATTCTCCCCCACTCCACCTCCCCTCGCCCATCCCCTAAGCCTTCTCCATCGTAATGTACCGGGGATTTGCAGGAAGGAAGGAGAGAAAAAAAGACCCAGCTACCCAACGCCCTGCCCCCCTCGCACTTCATCTCTCATCCCAACACAACCCTTTCACCACACCAAGCAAACCCAGTCTACGGTACTCCACATTCTTAAGTGCCGGTATGACACCTTCCGGACGTCCACATATACATACATGCATACATGCGTACAGATATTTAGACAGATAGAAAGGGACATAGTACTCAAAAGGGTTAAAAACAAGTTATGATGGACAACTACCACCCAGACAGACAGACTAACAGACGGACGGACGGAAGGGAAAAAAAAAGAAAAGAAAAACAAAAAAGGGCCAAACCAGATCTACCAACAGGATTAACCCTGGTCAGATCAATGCGGGATCGACTTCACGGTGTCACCCTAAAAGCACGTACAGCACTGTTAACTGTAGTGTAATAACGTCCCGTCCACCGTCGAAAAGAGGAAGTTTATACGGCCGATCTGATCCGTGGGGGTATTTACTCCTTTATTTACTTTTTTGTGCTTGGGACTGCCGTAATTGGTTGGTTGGTTGGTTGGTTTGGATTTCTGTGTGTGTATGTGGTGTAGGTAGATACTGTAAAGGGCCCTGCATACCGCTATGGCGGAGTTGGCGGTCCGGGGGGTTGGGATCGGAGTACCTACCTGTGCAGGCAGTACGAGTACGGTACTGTACTACTAGTACTGCACTGTAAGGTTATTACCCGTAGGGGAATAAAATATGGGGGGTGTGTGACTTTCCTAACTTATTTGGGTAGGGGTGCGGTATAGTATGGTATGGTATGGTATGGTATGGTACCTTGCTTATGGGGTTCCTTTTACTAACTATAGTTGTACGAGTAATGTACTCGAGTACTGTAGGAAGGCTTTTGATTGACAGATAGACAGACGGCTTGCCCAAGGATGCGCACTGTCAAGGGGGGGGGAAGGTGGTGATGCGGGGGTTCTTCTCTCCCACTTGACTAGCAATGACAGTCTACTACTATTACTATTACTATCACTACTACTACTATACCAGCCTTGAAGCAGGGATCGAGTTGTTTATTTTGTTTTCCCGCTAATCCTCACATTTGGTTTGTCCCTCAATTGTTTCACCATCTTCAGGACCGAATCTCCTGAACGCGGTTATCATAGTTACTTGTATCGTACATGATAGGATCTGACTATCGTACAACCGCAGAGTGGGTATCTTTCCCGCAAATGGCCAACCAGCTGGGGGGAAAGTTCCTGACTGACTAAACAGCTTACTCACCCCGGCATCGCACGGTGCGGGGGATGGGACCAACGAAGAAGAAGAAGAAAAAAAAAGGAGGAGAAAAACAAAAAAACTACATACAGAAACTCAGGGTCCGATCCCCACCAACCAACCAGCCGCTCCGGAGTGGGTAAGGGCCTCATCTGTTTCCATCTATTATAGCAATAATGTGTCCAAATTCACAGGCTAAACTGAAGGTTCAAAGGGAACCCGGGTTAGTTGGGACGAATTCGGGGCGAGTGATGGGGTTGTGATGCTTCGAGGGGGGGAGGATGTGTTCGAGTTACGATATGTTGTACCCTCTCCTGCAAGGCTCGCTCGCGGCTGCCCGGCGAGGCAAATCACAGTAAGACTGAATCACGGAGCTAGCTAGCTCGGATGTCGCTGAAGACAGAGTGGAATGAAGGAAAGAGAACCCCTTTTTTCCTTTCTTTATTTTTACAATACAATAATTGCTAAAAGGGTTTTATCGAACGTGGGAAGGAATGCGTGCGGTACTGTACGAGTACAGTACAGTACAATCCTTTGTGCGCTCCATCACATCAAATTACTAACGTGCGACGTCGGGTGCATTGATCCCCTTGGGAAAAACTTGGGGGCTGAAATACCAAAATAGGGGACTTGGCGGGAAGAAAGCATTGCTGAGTCACTGTCGCATTGATGATAGAGCTTACAGTACTTGTATGATACTTTTGTATGTGTTCCCGGTAGGATTGTGGCTCTGGCTCCCTCTCGTCGAAGCCACCCCTTCAATCTGCCGAATACCGGTACCGTTACCCCTTTAAGCGTGCTAAGCGGGCACCGAGTAACCATCACTTGCCCCCTCACCTTCCGCCCCCCCCCGTTCTCTCCAGAACCCTGAGTAACCGCCAACAGCGGTAGTGCCCAGCGAACATCACAGCACAGATCGTCGTGGAATAAATACCAGAGCCCCATCCCCCAAACCGCGCTAGATTCAATGATGGAGTTTCACAATTCGTGGAGTATTGTGGGGATGGCTTAAATAGGCTGGGTTTTGTCGTTGGGGCTGAGGGAAATGTATATAGTCGTAGTATTTATCGAATAGGGAATATCATAATATTTCCGTTTTCCCGTCGTATCGGGAGTAGAGTTTTTCACAGAATCTCACTCTCTCGGCCTACGGAACATCTAGTTCTAATTCACACCAGGAGAAACTGGAACAGGAAGAGGTATATAGAAACAAATCGATCGGACAAATCGATTGAACGAAATCCTTCCCTACTCCCCCCCCACCCTCTATCTATACATATCCCAAATGCGTCTCTCTAGCCTTTTTCTCCTGCTCCCTGCGTTCGCTCTCGGGGGCTGTGAGCGCATCACCCTCGACGGCGAAGACCACGACGACACCGATCAGGGAGCTATCCGCTGGCATCGGTGTCCGGAACCATCTTCCCCCGACGCACTCGTCATCCCAGCCGTTGTGTCCTCCGAGAGGGAGCGGAACCCTGACGGAACGAAGCTTGCTCTGTTCCAGTGCTGGGAATTCAAATATGCGGTCCCGTCCGTACCCGGTTTGGAGACGGCCAGTCTGATCCCATGGGGTAACTTTGCCGAAAGCTTTCAGTTCGATATCAAGGGTGCATATCACCAGCCACCGCACTCACCACCAGCTGTCTCATTGATTGTTTTCACTTCTGGTGAAGGTGTTATCTCCCCCCCCTCCCCATCTGCTTTCATCTTCTTATCTCCTTAGGCTATTGTGCTTGCGCGCTTGGTTTCCGCAAGTATGTACTGATGCTAATTTCCTCAAAGGCACCATGACCATTCCAGGCACTGGACAAAAGTGGCGGGGAAGGGGTGGGGATATCCTCATCGCCGCGGATACGGACGGGTCTCATGAGATGGATTGGAAGGCGGGAACTAGGGTTGTTGATTTCTCCTTCTCGGACCTGGAAGCTATCCCTGCGCATGAGGTTGTTCCGGCTCGGGGGGCTTGAGCTGCATAATGATATTTCACTGTTATGCTTATGTGTGCGTGTGTGCGTGCGTGTATATCACTGGTGCATTACAACCTGGGCTTCTGCCCTTTCTAGACTCCTACCGTGTTGGCGTAGGCACCCTGTACTCGTATAATACAACACATGCTAGGCTCGGGGGTCCCAACAGTCGAGAGTGAAAAAATAGAAAATCAATTTCACTGGTTTTCGGGGTAATGGGAGAAACATGTGTTTCTGCCAGCGCGTGATATCTCTTTTTAAATCCGGGAAGAGAGGATATAAGTTTAGTATGATCGCCGGTTTATAGCAGCCATGGCTGATTGTATTGATTTGTCACCACCGCTACTTCGCGGGCCGTACGGCGGAAACCGGGGGCTGAGATGAATCTAGCGTCTCGTCAGGGTCTCTCGCCACTTAATCTCTAGTGCCCGTATGTGTCATTCCCTTTCTGAGAGACAACGTGCGCCCCGCGGGTGAGATCGTGTCCGGGCCCGGGGGTGTTCCGCCTGGGGTACAGTACTCTAACTGTCTCACCACCCCTTCGACTGTGGGTAATATCGCGTAACTTGAAGTCGCCGGTGCTTTTGAGCCCTGCGGGATATCATTCGGGGATAATCGATGTTAGCCCCATACCGGGATGTTCAAAAACGCGATTCTCGCGTGATATTGTCTCCTGAGCTTATTTTTTCTCCTCTCCTCCTGGCCAGCCAAGCCGCATGGTACGGTTTGTAGCAACCCAAATAGGAAAAATTCTGGATTGCCTCCGAAGCCGAAACGTGCCTTCCCCAGGCAGGGGCTCGAGATGAGTTTGTCTCTGCCGCTCTTTGGGGAAGATTGGAGGGTTCGTGTCTCAGATCGCCGTATTGGTTACCTGGCGCTGCAATGTATTGGTACTGTACAATACTCGGGCACATCTACATCTGGTAGAGAGACCATAGGCTAGCAAAGCGCGGGAGAGACTTATTAGTTAGAATGGGTAGACTGGTAGGATGGGCGATGTGCCATATCAGTACAGTAATGTACAAGCACTCGTATGAGTATGTGCTCAGGTATAGTACAAGGGACACAAAAAAGTGGCACGGATCAAGGGTGTTGGAGTTGACTTTGGTTAAGGTCGGTAGAATGCCCCAACCGGCCCCCCTAGAAATGTAAATCGTCAATTGCTCAACAGGGGTTTGGAACTATATTTTGTTAGATATATTGGACTAGAGGCTAGGTACCTAGTAGGCTGTATTTCTTTGTATTGACCTGGGAAATTGAGATCCCGTTAAAGCTACGTTTCTTAGAGATACTATCTCAGCTAGGCTATTATTCATCGTAGCATCATTTTATCCCTGGCCCTTGCCCAATACTGTACTGCACTCGTATAGCATTGTACAGTACAGAGTATTACCAAATAGGAAAGACCACAGTACTCCCTGTAAATGAATGGCGAAGGAAACCCTTGAGGGGGTTTCTGCCCACGGACCGCCGGAAGGTCCCTAAGTATCGGCATTACTAATAGTAGAGAAATGTCCCACTGGATCCATCTCCCACCGGCTTAACATTATAGCCGAGGTAGCAATACGCTGTATGATTATTTATCGGATCCATTTATTAAGGTACCAGGTGCTCGGGATTCCATCCGTCTGCCAGACAACTCTCTAAATCAAGCCCTCACCTCACGCTACCACTATTGCTAGAGGCGATATCTATGCTAACACTTGCTCCCTGGAGACTCCCTATCTGGCTGTTCGAGCAGCCTACCGTAGCTGGGTAGCCATTTAGCATCGCCTCATGTGCCGAAGGCCCCACACCATAGCATTTCTAGCTGCCGGTGTCCAATCAAGTGTGGATGGACTTTGAGAGACTTTTGGGGGCATTGAGGATATTGTCATTCCATTCCGAGGACTGCATCTTGGACTTGTCACTTTCGAAGGACCTCCTTCCTTGCACGCTGCGCGCTCCAACAAATAGTGCATGCCTAATGGGTCATAGATTTCGACTACTCGAGCGCGAGTGCCGGGAATCGAGGATAAGTGAGGCGAAGAGGTGCCCAATTGGCTCTTAGGCCAATTCGGCTTCTCGGAGAGCGGTATATCGTGGGGCGACCGTGGCAGGTGGAGCATACGTAGCCTTGAAGCATTTCTAAAAAGCACAGCTATTGGATACCACCCAAATCCAAGAAAAAGGGGGCAAATTTTGGTGATATGCAATAGCAGTCCTCTTTAAAAACTCTTCGACGCTGCAAGTAGAATGTTCGCCTGACCTCTTTTTTCCAGCCTCAAAAGAAGAGCCACTATCGGGCCTTCGTCCGGCTGCACCCACCAAATTTTGGCCAGTGAAAACTGAAATCGCCTCACTTTTTTCTCGCACCCTTAAGTACCTCATCTTTATAACCCCTCCGTCGGGTCATTCGGGATACCTATGTGAGCAACTCCTCTACGAGTAGACCACAGCAACACGTGTACTACGCTGCTTTATCCTAACTCGCTGCACAATAAACAATTTATTCCTTTTTGATTACTTTTTCTCTCTCCTCCTCGGGGGGGGATTGATACGTTGCCATGCTAGCCGGCCTTCCGGGGAATTTTGTGTAGGTATGAGCGGGGAAGGAAGAAGAAGTAAAAAGCGATAGGGAATTCAACCTCGTAGGATGGATGCGCTTAACAAGGAAGATAAAATGATATTCGTTTTTTTCCCTTTTATGAGCGAAATGGGACCAACCCCCGATCAACACTTATAGTTTTGATCTTCTCCAGTACCGTACTCTAGTACCTGCAATTTTTGGGGCGATATTCGCTAGATAAATTACTATATTCGACGCACTTTAATTGGTTCTCCCCCCTTCCCCGGACAGTGTTTCAGAATTTTGCCAATCGGCTAGCGCCTTTCCGGTAGCCTATGGAATTCCGTGGCTAGTATACCTACAACGGCCAGTATCTAGCCCACGATTTCTCTCACGCAATAAACCACCAAAAAAAAGGGCATTGAGTAAATTTGCCGAGCGCCCCCCCCTCCTCTCCTCCTGCCTCCCTCCTTCCCTCCCCCTCTCGGCTCCCGGAGTTTTGCTTTTGCCGACGAAACAAGTTCCCTTAAAAATCCTCGGCTAATTAGCAGAATACAGTAAGCACGTAAAGCTAGTTACGGCGGAGGGCATGCGGGATCGGCATACCGTTGCACTTGGGGCCTTTTGAGAGGATCGCACTCAGCGTTTGATTTTGCACTTTGTGTTCACTGAATTGGCAAATGCGCCAAGGCCGAGTGATCTGCTATGGCCAGCCCTAATTTAGGGCTCTGGTACCGAATGTATCAACTGCCCGGTTCCTTTATTCAATTTTAGAATGGAAAACTTCCAAGGGTTATTTACCGGTATTGGTAAGGTACTTGTACTTTTTTCGCGCCTTTGCCGGGCTGAGGGATCTGCGTGGCTTGCTGCCTTGTATTCCGGGGGTTTTTACTCGAGTATTTTTCCTGGCAAGCATGGGGTCCGTGCCGTTCCCGGGGATTGGCTCGCAAATGCCGTTTTTTGGCCTTTTGCATTCCCCCGTGGTCTATGTCGCTGTGCAGATTGCGGAAGCTACTACTTGTACAGTAACGAGGGATGAACTCCTCTTTTCTCTCTCTGCCCTGCTGTGCTACAAAAGCAGGGTGCAAGCTCAGGGATTTTTTTTTATCTTTTATTGGTTTACTTCCCGATCCACACGTTTCCATTTTTATTTTTTGTCTCGCCTTATTTTTTTTTGCTTCGAGCCCGTTTTTGCGCGCTTTGCTTTCCCGGGTTTCTGCTCTGGGCGACAGCTGGGCGGTAGATAAGATAAGGCAGCGAGCGAGCGATCTTGGAATTCATCCCTGGCCGCCCCTGCACTCCCTAATTGGCCAATAAAACAAAGTTTTTTTTTTCGAAATTTTCAATATGCTTTTCTGGGGGAGAGGCCGTGAGCGAAGTTCACTTTTGCGGTTGGGAATTCTTTTATCGGAGGAGTGAGGGGCAGGGAGCAAGGATTGGTGATGGAGAAACAGGGGCTTCACCGGTAGCATATACATTAACTTAGACATCTTCTCAACTTTTACCATGCGCATAATCAGATGCAACAGTTCATCGAGGCTTTTTTTGTTTTTTGTTTTTTTTTCCTCCCTACCAGACTTTTTTGTTTTTGTTTTTTTCTCCTTTGATCCTATGCTCCGGCCCTCTTCTCGCTTGGCTGGTTGGATGGCTGGATATGCCCCCACCTGTACTACTATGTGCAGAAGTCCTTTTCCAGAAGTTACGGAGCTCTGCCGTTGGCTGGGGAGGGAAGGTGCATAAGGGTTTTCGGGGTTTGGGTCCTTTTTCTCTCGCGGAGGGGGGGAATAAACATAACACGAGGTTGCCGATATACATTGATGGGTGAGAGAGTCACATCAGGAAAGGAAGGGTGTTTCGAAGGACGGATATACGAAAGCCTCGACTAAAGCAGACATTTGGATATCCCTTTATTGTGACAGGAGAATCTACAGCTAGGATCTTGCGCCTTTTACTACTGCTCGGGGGAAACCCCGAGATGCTTGTCAGCCCTCTGAGCGCTCTCTGGATTAGCGTGAACTTTACTTTAATTGGACCCTTACACCAAGTACTGTGATATGATGTATCAGGGTAGCATATACATGACCTTGTGAGTCTCTCTTCGTTTACTTGTGAAGTGACTAGTACGAGTACATATCATGCGGGAGAGGTTGACCCTCCCTCCCTCCCTTGTCATGGTAACTCGGTTTTTATTGGGTTCCGCGGGCAATGTATAGTAAGTAAGCGCGAGTATCCCTAGCGCCCGGTATTGAGCCAACAGCCGGCAGCTAGAAAGACAGTAGGGAATTTGACAGCTTCCCGAAGTGTAGTGTGTCCTGATCTGAATCAACACTATTCCCAGGCTTCGCATCTCAAGTTCAAGTACTAGTACTAGCCCTGATTATGTATGGAAAAGAGGAGGGTTGTGGGCTTTGCATCAATGTGTGCCACGCACCAATGCAGGGTGATCGGCGCCCGGCAAACCCTTTTTTGTAAAGAATGGGTAACTTTAATCGCCGGCAGTTGAAGTGCAGGAAAAGGTAACGGGGTTTCCTGGAGAATCGTACGGTATTCCTCTCGGTTCCATGTAACTTTTTTTAGCCAATACTCTCTTGGCTACATCCGTATGATGACGGGGTGGTGGAGCAGGGCTAAGGTACTCGAGGCTGTTTTTTATGCAGTTCT